ATTCAATCCTAATAAGTACATTCGAGTCTGAATGTTTAACGGAAATCATTTGCAACTATTAGATTTGTGCAAACTCTTATTTTTATATTTGATATTACTAAATTCATGTAAATATCAGTCTTTACTGTTGCAAGTATTTTTTTAGATTTCAAAAGTATGAGCAACATGAATAATAATCTATACAATACTTATAACATACGTAATCTTTTTAATATGTTTAATGTTTAAAAACCTTTTGTACTGACATCAATATCATACCATAGTCTTTTTAAAACGCGACAATCTCATTTTTTTTCTACATAGCATATTAACATAAGTAAAACCTATATTTACCTAAAACCTTTGCCATTCTCTCTTTCCATACGCCATTAGTGTTACATATATTCGTTAAAAGATAGTTTACATATTTATAATTGTGAAATATGTATGAAAAACGTGTAAATATTCATAAAAAATATCGTATTTCATAACATCAGTATTTTTCTCCAACAATTGCAGTTATGCATAAGTCCCTATATTATCTCAAAAAAAGATAAAAATTGAAAAAACAAATTACTTAAACCTTATCACAATCCGCGTTTACATTACTCCTTTCTATATCATTTGTTGCTTGAGCATTATTAGACTTAAGGTGAACCAGTGGAATTTCTGCATCAGGCTTGGTTTCTTCTATCGAAGCAAGTTTAGGAGGTATTAACCGCTTGTCCACGATTTGTAGCCACGTCATAGATAATATTAGCATTAGACCAGTGATACCAAAAGCATGGTACGTTCCAAAACGTGTATAAACTACACTAATAAATACTGGACCTAACACACGGGACGCGCAACCCGCACCTGTCATGAAACCCATCCAAACACCTTGTGGTCGTGGTCCTAATACTTTACTAAAAATGGTTTGTATCAAGGTCACTCCTAATGGGTAGCCTATAGTTGTGAAACCATAGCCAATAAGAAATTGTGTGACCGTGAGTTGAGGTGTGTAGAGACACCACTTTTGACTACTAGGGCATCCTAAGACTTCTGTTGCATTGACATTTGTTGTACCATTATCGGATGCTGTAATATTAATAAAAATCCACGTGAATATAGTTTTCGTTACCTCTTATGGGCTAGATTTTGCCTAAAGCTTATATCGTACACAAATATTTTACATTAGAACTTAAATTTTTAACTTTATACTTACGCAGTTCGTACGCGATTGGCGGAGGATCCGGTCCCCATGGTATGTACAATATCCTTCCAATTATCATAAAGAAGAATCCACCCCACAGCATCACTTTACGTTCATTGAATCTAATAACGTTCAAATGAAATCTAATAACGTTCATTGAATCTAATAAAGTTCAATTTCTATCAAATATTCATACCTTTTACAGAGTGGTTCAATCATAACAAACGTAATACAAGATACAATAGCACCGACACTCATTAACAGACCCATATAATACAGAGATTCTTTCTTTGACCAACCAAATTGATCCATAGTTAAGGAAGTACCCAAACTAATAAGAAGGTAAAAAAAATGTTGAACAAGATAAAGAAACAAGAAATATAAATCAAAGAGATTGTTATACTAACGTTTCGAGAAGGACGAAATTAAATACCAAGACAAAAAATGCACAAATCAATGTGCAATTTGCTAGATAATCTGGCTTAGCAGACTTCAATGTTTCCTCTTCTGCAGTTTTTACAACAACCATTCGGTCAGTTCACTATAGCCTATTTTTACTGTACTATATGTATACTACTTAAAGTAATTATTACCTGTTCTTCTTCCTTGTAATTTCATAGCTTCGCGTAGGGCAATCCTATGCTCCTTGAAATTCCATGGAAGAAACAAAGCAAAATTAAGAATCCCCATTTTAACATTTATCCAACCAGTCATAGTATACATATTAACAGGTAAATTCATAAAATAGAAACCATGTTCGCCGAGAGGTGTGACCACGGCTTGCAATCCGGGACCTACCACAAATCCCAGTACCTATTAAATTATAAGATACATTATACGTTCAATCCAATAAAACTATGTATAGTCATATCCACGACTTTACAAACAACATATTAAACTGCATTACCTGTGCAAGAGATACCATAGAAACCGCGTGCGTTCTTTCTGAAAATTTCGTAGCTGCAGAAAGATAAGATCTTGCTACTGCAATATTAGCTAGAATATCAAAGAAAAGTTACACTTATTTTATTTTTATTTCATATTATTAAAAAGATAGACATTACACTAATGAACATCGATTGGGGCATTATGTTTCATTATAGTGTGGAAGCCTCACATTTTGTTGGATGCTACAATGTGTAAAATAATAGACCTCCCTACTTAGTTTCAAGTTTAGTGTTCCATGGCATAGTTACTAGAATGCAGATATTCAACAAATTTACATTATTGAACTTAATTCTGGTCTTTAGTAATTTTTTGAAATATAAATTTACGTGAGCATCTGCAGGCTAGGTGTAAAGTACAATGTATACAGCAATTGTAAGTCAAAATTAAAGAAAATACTAACCAGAGCTAACTCCAACCAAAAATCTAGCAGCTATCATAAACATTTTCCGATCACCTGGCAAGATTTCAAGAACACTGTACATCCCTGATGCAAATGTAAAAAGCGCTAATGTTGATAAAAGGGGTAATCTTATAGAACCCCTTTTATCTCCCCACCAACCTACTAAAGGGGAAAATAACATTTGTGCCAAAGGATTAGCTGCAACAACATATCCCATAAACTCTTTGCCAGCATTTTTGTCCAACTGTAATGAAAACATATCATTTCATATTACAGTATATGTGCATTTTTACTATACACTTACTTTATCAAGATATGGCCAGACTCCAGTTAGTATAATACTGAATCCAAGGGACATAAGAAACATAGTAAAATAAATGACATAGATACTTCTCCATCGTTCTCTTCTTTCTGCAACAGTTTCTAGATCATCATCCTTAGGAACAGTGGATCTATAATATTATTAACAATTATGTTATAATTTATAAAATGTACGAGCATAATGACTTGGTTATTCTGCCTCACCTTTCAGCGCGTAATTTTTTAATCCAGTCCATTAAAGATTATGATATAAAATCTCTGCGATATATAATATTAAAATAAATTATTCTAAAATAGATTATTCTATCTATTTTTATTATGAATTTGAATGTATTTATATCAACATTGATTTATTCTAATGATAGTAAAGTAAATCTGAAAGAAACAAGAATAAAGTACAACTCATTAACATAGCACATCAATAACAGATTGTACAAATATGTATATTTCACTGTATTATTTATTCTATATTATATGACCTACCATTTTATTATGTATGAATCAACCATATTATAAACAAGTTCTGTGATTTCAAATATTAATGTCTATTCAAGTATTTATATTCTGATAGCAAAAACATGCAATTGACTCTTCTCTTTATGTGATTTAAAAAAATTCACCACAGATTACATGTCTGTAGACTGTTCATTATAGTCCATAAATATGACTGCTTTATAACATATTTAACGTGAAATATGTATAAAACTTAAATTCAATTTTTATAACAATTTTGTACATAAAAAAAATATAGGAGATTACAACGTTATACTCACCACCAAGAAAATATGTTACTTTCAGATTTGTCTAACCAAAGTAATTGTAAATGAACTTGTCAGATGTATTGTAAACAAAGTTTATCTGAACACAGCATTTTACAACTGACAAATATCTTCAAAAGTTCGCGCATCACTGATAACGTGTGCCGTATTTATGTATATCATGATCTTGCATGTTTACTTATATAGTTTATAAAACACACCTCCGCATTGATCAATCATTACATACGTATAAATGCAATTTTCAATTGACATAGTTTGCATACACTAACTGTACACTACTCGATCGGATCACGTTTAAATGTTAATCTCACTTTGAGCAACCACTGCTTCATTTAACAGCAGTAGCACTTCATTTATACGAATCCGTCGGGAGACAAAGAAACATTTCATTCGTAGTGGATAGTCCCAACTAATTTTCCCCACTACCTATGGTTTTTCATTCCCATTCAGATAAGTGGATTGTGTCAAACATTTGCCTACATGATAATACATACATACTTCGAATCTTACGATTTTAGAAATGATCTCGTGAGAATGATAACCTCGTGATATTCAACGAATTAATTTTTTATTGATTTACACTGTTGTCTGGCACACAATTAATTATGCTTACTTGTGCGTCAATAAGTTTCAATTGAATTTGTTTCACCAATTTTTAGTTTTATTGGAAAAAGTAAGTACAGTTCCTTGTACCAATCGAGCACCACTACGTAGGTATACTGTACTGTCCAAATCCGAGCCAAAGAGTACATTGCTCAAACCTTCTGCTTCCTGTTTTTATTCCATTTTACCCTAGTTACATGTCATACATATACATATACTCGGCAGAGGCAAACGATACAGAGTTGAAAAGACAAAAGAAACACACGTTTCCTCCTGACAGTGATAGCACAGCTGATTTCGTATAGAACGTGTGTTGTACGCGTGTGACGTGTTCACGACTATTATTAATGCTCGTGCATTTATATCTGCTGTCTTATAAAAATATTTATTGGGTCGTATCATATGAAATGTCGAGGTTCTAATAGCTCGCTTAAACGCTTAAGTGTTACCAATTACAAGATTACAGATATTTAAAAGTTATAAAAATAAATACATAATGATAATTGATCGTTTCATAAGACGCGATTAAAGATTTCACTTACGCTTACACTTCTCGTAATTTTAGTAGGTATCAATACGTATATATAGCTAGATAATTTTAATTAAAGATGAATTGATTAAAAAAATTAACGATTTAATCTATATATGATGATAATTTCGAAATGTCAATGATAACGTATTTCAAATGAAAAGATATTTTGATTACAAACATTTTATTTTACAATTCGGTATAATGCATCAGTCTATGT